AATTGGAGAGGCCGGGGGAGTGGTAATTAATTATAAAGTCTGTGGAAGGGGATGGCTGTGCTGGGGCCCGCGTGCACTAAAGAAAGACAACGCAAGGCTGAGTGTGACTCAGCACTAATTTAAGGCCAAGTGAGAAAGCCAAGGGCCTCCTTAGCAGCAAATAAATCCTCCTCTCCTGCAGCTGGAGGGGAGGAAAAAGCTGAGGAGCAGGCCAGGGCGTAGTTATGAGTGGAGCAGAAGAAGTAAAACAGAAGAAATTCAGTGCTCAGCCCACGATGAGTTGACTGCGTCAAGTGCAGAACCTGCTTGGGAAAGAGTGAGGTGCGGAAGTGACCCCCGGCGAGCACTCCCCCTGCTTGAAGACTATGCAGATAGGCTCAGGGGCTGGCCCAAGGCCAGGGTGGGACATCAAGTGGGATAAAGGAGAGTCAATCCCATAATACGAGGATTAACACCCTGGCAAGAGGGCTTAACATGCTGCTTGGAGAAAACGAAAGCCCACAGTAGAAGTCACCAGGGATGCAGTGTCAGGCCGCGGAAGAAAGCATCCAAAGGCCTGGAGAAGAGGGCATGCTTGGGTGTCTGCCGTGTCTGGCCAGAAACCCACTCACTATCCGTCTTCTGCAGGAAGGCCGGGCAGCCACCTCATTTACCAAGGCCAACGGGAAAGCCCTAAGAAGCCCAGGTGAATGTCCTTTGAAGACCTGCTAGTTGGAGCTGCAGTTACAGAACTGGGCGCCCTGACAATAGCGGGGATGACAGGATCCTGAAGAAAGAGGCCAGGTGGCGGCGCCTGGTCATCAGAAGCGCAGGCTCAGGAGTCTTCAGGTGGAGGCAGTTCCCACCGCTAGCAGCCAGGTCAGAGCTGCTGGACCTGCCAAGCCATGGAAATGGTTCATCGACTCCGTGTCCCAGGGCAAGCCAGATGGCAAGCCAGATGGGCAGCCAACAAGGACACCGCCCACCTGATGCAATCAAAAGAGTCCAAGGGCTGGGCGTGGTGGCTGACACCTGTAATCCCGGCACTTTGGGAGGCCTAAGTGGGAGGATCCCTTGAGCCTAGGCGTTCAAGATCAGCCTGGGCAACACAGGGAAACCTTGTCTCCAAAAAAAAAAAAAAAAAAGTTTTTAAACTAGCCAGGTGTGGTGGTGCATGCATATGGTCCCAGCCACTCAAGAGGCTGAGGCAGGAGGCTCACTCGAACCCAGAGGTCAAGGCTGCAATCAGTGAGCCCTGATCACACTACTGCACTCCAGCCTGGGTGACAGAGTGAGACCCTGTCCTCCCAAAAAAAAACAAAAAAGAGAGAACATCCAAGGCTTGATGATGGGGGTTGAGAGCAGTAACCCAATGAAAAGTCCTGGTCCTTTGAGAAGTTTCCAGACCTGAGTAAGGTTTCACATCCAACTGACTGAAGGAGAGACCAGGTCCCCAGAAGGAAGGACCCTGCAACCCCCGAATCAGCACATGTGATGATGATTCCATCATCCTTCCTGAGAAGGGCGTACATGCCTTTTACTTGAGTAACCATATGTGGGAGAAAGATGAGTACTCAGGCATTTCAAAGACTGTCAGACACAGGGTCCACATGGACATTGGTCTGGGGACCCAAAGAGGCCTCATGGCCCCCTGTTAGGGTGGAAGCATATGGGGGCAGGTGATGAGTGGAGTCCCAGCCCGGCTTTGGCTCACAGGGAGTCCAGTGGATCCACAGGACATCCAGTGGTGGTCTCGCTGGTCCCTGAGTGTATAATTGGAATAGACACACATTGCAGAACCCCCACACTGGTGCTTTGGCCCGTGGGGCAAGAGCTACTATGATAGCTCTTGGAAGCCTCTGAAACTGCCTCTGAAACTACCTGCCATCAAAGGAAGTGTGGCTGTGGGTTTTCGACGTCGAACCTGCCGGTCTCACCACACACAGCACCACCCAGCACTGCGGCTGGATGGGGTGATGTAACAGCCCTTTGGATGCAGCTGACCAAGAGCTCTACTGTACAGGATGGTGACTGTAATTCCTGACAATGTGCTGTATTGTTGAGCATTGCTAAAAGAATAGATTTTAAGTGTTCTCACTATAAAAGTATGTGAGGTCATGCATATGTTAATTAGCTTGATTTAGCCATTCCACAATTTCAAAACATCATGTTTCACACCATAAAAATATACTTTTTTTTTTTTGGAGACAAACTCTCACTCTGTCACCCAGGCTGGAGTGCAGTGGCACCATCTCAGCTCACTACAACCTCCACCTCCCTGGCTCCAGCGATTCTCCTGCCTCAGCCCCCCAAGTAGCCGGAACTACAGGCACACGCCACCACACCTGGCTAATTTTTGTATTTTTAGTAGAGACAGGGTTTCACCATGTTGCCCAGGCTGGTCTTGAACTTCTGAGCTCAAGTGATCCGCCTGCCTCGGCCTCCCAAAGTATTAGGTTTATGGGTGTGAGCCACTGTGCACAGCCAATACAGACAATTTTTATTTGTCACTTTAAAAAATAATAGGCCAGGTAAGGTGGCTCATGCCTGTAATCCCAGCATTCTGGGAGGCCAAGGCGGGAGGATTGCTTGAGCCCAGGAACTCAAGACCAGCCTGGGCAACAAATCAACCAACCAGTCAATCAAATAAATAATAATAAAAAGATGCAGATGAGGTGTCAGCTTGGAGCTGATCCCCTGCAAGGATGGTGAGCTGTCTTCGTAATGACTACTGTATGATGCTGAGTCCCTAATGGGACCAGAATAGATGCATCTAAGAACTACAGGGTAGAAGTAGGAGGAGCCCCACTCTCCATCACACCCAGGGACAACTCTGGGCACTGCAAGGTTAGAAATCCTGGTTCCCAAAGGGAAAATAGTTCCACCAAGAGACAGCAAGAGTCAGATTAAACTTTCAGCTATAACTACCACCACTTCCCTTCAGGTCCCTTGTGGCAAGAAACCAGCAGGGAAAAAACAACAACAACACAGAGTCACCATCCTGGCAGGAATGACTGGCCCTGATCATCCACAGGCGCCTTCTGTAAAAGCCTCACACTGTTTGTACAGCAAGGGCCAGGGAAGAAGAATAGCATTGGCAGCCAGGCAATTCCCTGGGACATCTCTTGGTGCTCCCTTGCCTGGTATTGATGGGAAATGGGCAAGGGCAATGGTCACGGTTTGAGAAGAGCAGGAAGGTCAGAGACTCAGACTCCCTCAGACATGAGGGGCCAGGTCCCCTCAAAAGGTAAGCCACCTAGACCAACAGAGGTGCTAGCCAAGGTCAGGGTCACTGAAGAGGGAGATTGCAAGTGTCTTTTGTGGCCCAGAGTCCTGCTGCAGCAGCAGGACTGTCGCTCGTCTCACTGACCTTCCCCTTATTAGCTTCCCCAGGAAAAGAGACCAACCAGGACCCTGAAGAAGCTGTTCCCAGGTGGGATTAATTATGATAAGGGCTCAGATTTCCAAGTAGCGCAAGGGGCAGGCTGCGGTGGGTGCTGTAGATTTGCCACCTCCTCAGGGTGAGGTCACTTTTGACCCCAGCTGTTGGGGGTGTTGCCTGCTGATGGCCCACGCCTGAGTCCCTCTCTGGGCATTGCCCTGGGCTGAAGGGAGCCCCCTCGTCCAAGGTTATGCCTCCTCCCCAGAGACAGCCTGCACTGACCAGTGACTGCACTGACCAGCCGCACTGACCAGTGACTGCACTGACCAGCCGCACTGACCAGTGACTGGTCAATGCGGGGGTGCAAAGCCCTGGCCCCTTGCCTTAATATGGTATGATGTTCAAGAGTCACCCCAGCTTCAGGGCTCCATGTGGGGTCAGCTGAGGCCTCTACTGTGACTTCTCCTTCAGCCCAGTCCTCCATCCTTCAATCCTGTTGATTCCAGCAGCAACCTCCTGAATCCAAACCTCCTGCATCCAAACCTTCAGCTCAGACTACTTTTTCCAGAGACTAGACCTACGCCAACTACACAGTGGTGGAGAAGGGCAAACCACTCAGCCCACCGGAGCACGGCGGACTCTCACAGATGGAGCACTGAGCGCCAAACAGCACATTCCACGTGATTCCATGTCTATGAAGTTCCAGAACAGGCAAACCTGGTCCTGACAGGAGAGTGGTTACCAGGGGCAGACATGAACTGGGAAGGGGCAGGAGGGAAACTTCCGGGATGCGGGATCCTGTTCTGTGTAGTGGCTCATGTTCACTGACATGCACTTTGTACTTTAATTAATTGATTAACTGATTGATTGATCGAGACAGGATCTCACTCCATTGCCCAGGCTGGAGTACAATGGTGCAATCATAGCTCACTGCAGCCTCAACCTCCCTGGGCTTAGCTGATCCTCCCACCTCAGCCTCCTAAGCAGCTGGGATTACAGGCGCACGCACCCAGCTAATTTTTTTGGGGGGGTGGGTAGAGACCAGTGCCATGCTGCCCACACTGGTCTCAAACTCCTGAGTTCAAGTAATTTGCCTGCCTCAGCCTCCCAAGGTGCTGGGATTACAGGCGTGAGCCACCACACCCAGCTATATCTCAATTTAAAAAATACCAATGCCCAGGCCCCCGCCCAGTTAAATCAGAAAATTCTAATGTGCGGCCAGGGTCCAGAAGACCCTAGGCTGGGGTCTGCTGCAGCGGAGACAGGCGCTGTCCCGACATGCAGAGCGGCTGTACTGCGGCTCCAAGGCAGGAGGAGAGAGAGGGGCCCACGGAGCAGGGCCCCGGAAGGCAGCCTTACACGGCTGACAGGGTAGCGGTGGGAACAGAGTGGCCCAGGTGTGTTGTGCCCATAGAGCTTAAGGGAGGGAGGAAGAGGACCAGCAATGACAACGTCACCTTCTCGCTGTCTGGCCTTGGGACATCACTTTCCCTGTCTGGACCCCAGTGTGCTCCCTGCTGGTGCAGCACTGGACTGGAATGGGAGGCGGGAGGGACAGGGTGTAGTCGAATCCCAGTTCCATACCCCATGCCCTCCAGGCCCCGTTCAGACCTCAGTCCTGCCCTAGCTGGCAACTTACCTGGCCCCCTTCCTGTTTTCTCATCTGCAGAGCGGGGGTGATGGCGCCTACTTCACCCAGTGGCTGTGAGAACTGCATTGGAGACAAATATTTTACAACACCTCCTCCTCCCTCCCTCTCAGCTGACAGCTGTGCCGCTTATTTCTCTGAGAAAAAGGGAGGCACCTAGAGACACTGCAGCCCCACACCCACCTCACCCCACCCCTAGGCCCTGCCGCCCTCCCCCTGGGTTCCCAGGCCCCCTGTCCCTCCACCCCTTACCCCTTATGCTGGGCACTCCTGCTGCCGGGCTGGGATGTGCTCTCCCCTCTCCCGAATGATTGGTTTTCCCTCACATAGAATCTGTCCCATCCAGAGAGAATCATGCTGTTGTTTCTCTCATTTAAGAGAAAGTCAAAAGGGTCCCCTAGACCGCCCAGTGCCCCCCACGTTGTGGGCCCATGTGTCTCCTCCCTCCGGTGGCAGAGGACACTCCTGGAAAGGCCCGCCCATCCTCTCCACCTCCACTCCCTCCGAAGCCTTTCCAGTCGGCCTCTGGCCCTCACCAGCCACTGCTGACCCCCATGGCCAGTCTCCAGTCCTCCTCCTTGGCAGCACGCTGTCCGCCCTGGCACCCATGCCTCCGGGCTCCTCAGACACCACACTCCCACTCTGTGTCGCACCTCCGTCTCCCTGGGTGGGCCCTCACAGGGCCAGGACTCAGGCCTGGGGCCTCTTCTCTTCTCCACTCATGTCTACTCCCTCTGGGATCTCATCAGAGCAGTGGCCTTAGATCTCCCTGAACTCCAGCCTCACACATCCACCCACCTCCTCAACAGCCCCACTTGGATGTAGGCACAGGCCAACTTACCATGTCCCCATCTGACAGCCCCCAGCCTGCCCCAACGCTGGCCTTTGCCATCTCAGGACACAACACCACTGTTCACCCAAGAACTTAGGAATCTCCCTCACCCTACACCCCGCTGACTCTCCCTTCAAAATATACGCAGAATCCAGCCACCTCTCACCTGTCGGCCACAGACACCAGGGTCTGCCCCAGCCCCCTCTCCCACCCGGAGGGCTGTGTGGCCTTCTAATGAGCACCCCCTGCTTCCACCCTCGCCCCCTACTGTCTATCTGCCAGACGGCAGCTGCAGTCATCTTTTTAAAACATAAATAATGTCACTAAAGTTGATACACAACCCCCCACTGCTAAATTTGAGTGGCTTTTTTTAAAATTGAAAAATAAAAACACAAATATAATTTTGACACATCACACCCCTGCCGAAACCCTCCAGCGAGTGACTCACCCATCTGAGAACAGGTTGGCTGTGCCTCCGGGCCCCAACCTGTTGACTCATCCTCCCCCACTCCCCACGACCACTCTCCACGCCTCACTCCATCCCAGACCCCCTGTGCTTCCTCTTCCCTGCCTCGGAGCTAGCACCTGCGGCTTCCTGTCCCGAGATCCTCCTCCCTTGATATCTGCAGGGCACATTTCCTTGCATTAAGTCTCTGATTCATGATCCTGACCCCCACTTTTGCCCCATCCAGAACAGCCAGCCCATGCCCCACACCCCTTACTTAAACCCTCATCCTGCTTTATTTTTCCTTTGTAACACTTGTCACTTCCTAATATATTTGTGTGTGTATGTGGATATATATATTTTTTTAATTAATAGATTTTATTTTTTAGAGCAGTTTTAGGCTCACAGAAAAATTGACTAGAAAGTACAGAGAGTTCCCATACACCCCCTCCCACCCATACAGTAGCCACCATTACTGTCCATACCGTGCATCTATGTGGTACATTTGTTAGGACTGATGAACCTACATTGACACATCATTATCACCCAGACTCCATAGTTTACATTAGGGTTCACTCTTGGTGGTGTGTATTCTATAGGTTTGACTATAGGTTGATGACAGGTAACTACCATTGTAGTATCATACAGAAAAGTTGCCCTGCCCTAAAAATCCTCTGTGCTTTCTACCTATTTATCTCTCCCTGCCCCACCCCAATCTCTGATAACCACTGATCTTTTCACTATCTCCATAGTTTTTCCTTTTCCAGAATGTCACCTAGTTGGAATCACACAGTATGTGGCCTTTTCAGGTTGGCTTCTTTCACTTAGTAAAACGTATTTAAGGTTCCTCCTTGTCTTTTCATGGCTTGATAGCTCATTTATTTTGAACACCGAATAATATTCCATTGCCAGGATGTGCCACAGTTTATATAACCATTCGCCTACTGAAGGACATCTTGATTGCTTCTAAATGTTGGCAATGAAATGTCTTGACATTCACAGGACACAGCAGCATGATAAAGGCCCTGATGGGCCGGGCACGGTGGCTCACGCCTGTAATCCCAACACTTTGGGAGGCTGAGGCGGGTGGATCACGAGGTCAGGAGTTCGAGGCCAGCCAGACCAAGATGGTGAAACCCCATCTCTATTAAAAATACAAAAATTAGCCAGGCACGGTGGCAGGTGCCTATTATCCCAGCTACTCAGGAGGCTGAAGCAGGAGAATCGCTTGAACCAGGGAGGCAGAGCTTGCAGTGAGGCGAGAATGTGCCACTGCACTCTAGCCTGGGCGACAGAGCAAGACTTCATCTCAAAAAAAAAAAAAGGCCCTGATGAGGCCTACACTGAAGAGCACCCTTTACTTGGGTTGAACCTAAAAGTAAATTTCCCAAATTTGACCACGGACAATCTGTCCAGGTGCTACCTCCCACCTCCTGGGTGCCACAGGAGCTCACACTAGGATGACAAGTCCCCTCTCTCAGCTGGGGCAGCCCATAAAGTCCTTGAAGGGGCTGAGCGTGGTGGCTCACGCCTGTAATCCCAACACTTTGGGAGGCCGAGGCAGGTGGATCACCTGAGGTTGAGAGTTCGAGACCAGCCTGACCAAAATGGAGAAACCCCGTCTCTACTAAAAATTAAAAATTAGCCTGGCATGGTGGCGCATGCCTGTAATCTCAGCTACTCGGGAGGCTGAGGCAGGAGAATCGCTTGAACCCGGGAGGCGGAGGTTGCAGTGAGCCGAGATCACACCATTGCACTCCAGACTGGGTGACAAGAGTGAGACAGCACTCCAGCCTGAGGGTCAAGAGCGAGACTTCGTCTCAAAAAAAAAAAAAAACAACAACAACAACAAAAAAAAAACACTAGGAAGGTTGAGGCAGGAGAATCGCTTGAACCCGGGAG